AAAGAGTGAAAACTAAACAAAAAAAAGTCTTGTGATTTTTTTTTTTTGTTTGGCTTTTTTCCATTTATGCTACAATATAGGAGTAGGGAAAAATGTCTTTAGCAGTAACTTATATCAGGGATATGCTCAAAGCTTCTCTCAACTTCCTACTTTTCTTCATCCACATACACATGCAAATATAAGTTTTCCAACCCATAATGTCTTCTGTAACTCCAAACGAACTAGAAAACTGTTACAGAGTTTAACTTGTGCATACAGCTGTGTCACCACCTAGTGGAGAGTCAAATAAATGTTTTGCCACATTCAGCAATTATTCTGCCATTAAAGTAATATTACTGAAACTAATAGATACCTAATTCTAGCAGCTACATTATCTTTCTTTTTCTAGTACTGATTCAGTGTGTACATTTGTTTTGTGTCTAAGTCCAGAAGTATTGTGCACAGTTAATTTCCAGTCTTCATTCCATAACGTTACAGAAACAGCGCTGATGTATTTTAACTATAAGACATTTTTTTTGTGAAATAAGGGACTTTGGACTTGTATTTTAATGATACACAGGAAGTATGATAAACAATCCAGGTGCTCTTAATGTGTTAATTTATCTTGTGGAATAAAAAAAAAGCATTTTAAATAATATATTATTAAATCTAAATATAATTCTTGACTAAAAGCTCCTTTACGAGACTAAAAATAGCACAACTGTGGAGTGAAGAGGGTGGGTCAATTATTCACACCCTTTTTTTTTGCGTATGTAATTTTAGTGCTGTGAATAGTTTCTCCTTTCTAAACATACCTACTTCTCTACATTTCTGAATAAAAAATTGACCTACTAAATTAAACCAAAGTTAAAATGTGTGAGAAATGCTGAAAATACCTACATAATTAATGGCCATGAAAAGCTCTTGGTGTCCAGATAGAAAGGACTATGTGGCACAAAGTTGGTCATGATGCAGATCTCAAGTTTTTCACCTTCTCATTGCTTTAGCTGATGCAGAAAACTATTCCCTTGTGTGGTTTACTCTTTAGTAGTTTTTTTGCCATATTAACAGGCCAAATATAGATTGAATACATACTTTATATGTGGTCAGTATAGAAAGTGATGTAATTATGTGTCAGTATTGTTTTATGGTTGGCTGTCTGGGCTCATATTTGCGAGAGAAAAGATGAATATGAAATATTTGTGACTAATTTGTCATAGTGATACCTCAGAATAAAAGTGATCAGATGTGTTTAGATTACTGGATCTACTGGCATGTCAAAATTCATGTTCAACTGTTTTTAAGATCAGGATCATGATCTGTATCTGCACAAAATTATCACAACAGGACAGCTAATTTCACTGTGTGAAAATGTTTCTACATCCTCTCCTAGAGTTAGGAAAAATTCCACTGTATTCCACACAAATGAACAGTCACCACGGAGAAGAGATACTAGTAGCAGACACCTGTGATCCACAACTGTCCCCTATACCAAGTAAGTGTATTAATAGATTTAGTTTGAATTCCATTTAAAATTAAGGCAAAAATATTGTAAAACTGAGGATTCATTAACAACCGAGGGTTCATCTCTTTAAACAAAGGAGCCAGAAAAAGGATATTTTGTTTAATCACAGAATTGCTGCTGAAATGCCTGCCTTGCATGCCTGTCTGTGTGCCATTAGATACATGATCTAGTGGCGTAGTATCAGGGCTTAGAGTCAAGAAATAAAAAGGAGCTCAGTGCAGCTCTTACTGCAGATATCTTATATTTTAGGCAACTTACCCAATGGTCTTAAATCTGATTTTCCAACTGTACAGGAGATTAAAATATTCTGGGAGTTGCATTTACTGTCTGACATGAGTATGTAACATTGAGAAGTGCTTCTGTTAATTATTCCCTTTTTTGCAATTGTGAATTGGTACAAGTCTTTAAGTACTTCTCCATAAACAGTTCTTTGACAAGAACTTTCTGCATCCCTGATATTTTTTACTGTGAAGTATTTGACTAAATGGCTGTGAGAATCATCATTTTGGAATTATTTGTGCAGGTTAGGATTGTGGTGGTTGTAGTTCTTGTGCTTTCCCATCATATTACTGTGCCCCAGTTTAATAAGCTGAATAATGTTAAACACCTGAACGAAGGGAAACTCATCTGTTTGTCTTCCTAATAAAAACACAGGAAGAATAATTATAAGTGTCACCTAGGAAATCTGCAGCAAAAGCATTTTACTATAAATATACATTATCACTGTTCTACATGCTTTTCTCAGACTCCTCAGGCCCTGGAATGGGAGTTTGAAAAGCAACTTTTACATTGACTTGTCTTTGTATTTTAATTTTGGGTAGTTGTATTCAAATTGGAAGCATATTTCTCTATGATGATACATCAGTTAGCTCTTGTCAGAAATTCTTTTGCCCCTCTTCTCTGTGTACAACTTCCAGATATGCTTTTTATCTGACAGAGGTCAAACTATTTCCATAATTACCAATTTTACGTTGTAATCTTTTTAGTTCTGTATTTGTACCATCTGTGTGAGTGGAGTAAAATATTACGATGTATGTGTAGCTTACTGTGAGCTTCTTTCTACCCATAAAGATAAAACAAGGATGGGAGGCTATCCTGTTCCGAAGCCATCTTTTAACTTGGCTGCAGTTGTGGCAGAAACAATTGGACTTGCTGCTCAAGAGGAATCTGTAAGTAGTCTTCCCAAATTTCTCATATAATCAGCTTTTTGTGCCAGTTGTTTTTGAAAACAGTATTTTTCTCTTTTGTATTAAATTTCTGCAAAAGTATTCCGAGTTCCAGTAAGCTCACTTTGGTTTGCTTTTGCTTACTCGTTACAGAATTGCTCTAGCAAGAGGAGATAACTGTGCTGACCTGTTCGGGGGTTGGGGAGGAGGGTAGGGGTGTGGTTCCTGCTTTGTATGTGACTTTCAGATTTGACTAAGACAGCGGATGAAGCCCTTGGGTCTGCCAAACTCTTTGTGCAGTAATCAAGTCTAAGACACTAAAATTTAAAGATTATTTGGTGATGAGATTGCTTAGTGACTCAGGTGAGATTATTTGATGGTTTTGGTTGGTAACTACAGTGAAAATTATAGTGTGCAGACTTTTTTTTTTGTGCATATGCTTTTGAATTATGAAATTTTTTAATTTCTATAGGTTTCTTTAAAGTTGCTGGTCAAAATTTCATCCCACTTTTAACTTTTATTATTTTTCGGAGTTTTGAATGGTTCAATTTGAATGGGTCTTCAGAGTATTTATGTGCAAACCTAGGATATTTCTAATTTTTTAATTCTAATATCTTCTCACATTTCCTTTCTTTGTTTTTCTTCACCATTTGCAAGGAGTCCCAGAGTGTACTGAGTCCTCCCCACACTAATAGTGTTATGAACCAGGCCTCAGAGAGCATGCAGTCTGAAGACTCAAGAAAACATCCAGCTTCTCAATCAAGAAACGGTGACAACAATTTAGGGTGTGTTTCCACTTGGTTATAATGATATTGTTTTAAACAGGATTATATGAAGTTCTGGTTTTACTAGAATTTAAAACCTTACAGCAGTTTGCTTTAAAAGTGCAAACATGGAAATGAATATTTTCATACTATACAGGCCTCTTTGAAGTAAATAACATTAGAAGCAAAGGAACTGATACAATGCAAAACTGTGGACTTTTGCTTCGTTCTCAAACTTCTGACTTGGGCATTCTATGTACACAGTCCCTTCCTCACTGACTTTTTGTTATTGTGAGGCCTATAAACCTGGGGGTAAGGAGCCTGGAGCTGGGGAAAGAAAATGATCATAAAACTTCTCTGCTGACTAGATGTCATTCTGGTTGACCATTGCCCTTCCCACTCTCCTCAGAATGTTGTGGTCTAGACTAAATATTTTTTTAGCCTATTTGTTATCTTAAATGTATGTTTTGTTGATGACAAGTAAAAAACATAGTACCTGAAAGAAACTTGCCCATTTTTCCTCCATTTGCAGAAGTTTTGAGAATCTTTTATTGTGGTTATGAAATCTATCCAAGACCCTAGACACACTCCTGTTGCAACCATTCTCACTTTCTTCCGTTTCACTGCATTGGCAAGTAGGGAGTCCTTTGGTAGAAGAGGTTCCTAGGTAGGCTTAATTCTGTCCTTGGTTCTCAGTTGAATGCAAAACAGAATTTCACACCATACTAAAATGAAGCACGAGGTCTGTGTTTTGTTTGCCTTTTACAGCTCTAAGTGCAACAGTACTTACTCCTAGACCAAAAATTTCCCTTTTCCTTTCCATTTTCAGCTAATACCAGCAGCTCTGACAGCTTTAAAGCAGATCACTGATAGGAAACTTAGAATTTTTATATATCCCTTTCTGTCCTCCCAGCCTGCTTATGTACACCAGAAAAATATCTCATCTCTCATTGTATTCAGTCTTTCAGATCCATCTCAGAACACTCCACCACATGTTGATTGGGATTCTCAGGTAGCTTCTCCTGTTTTTGGAGCTTCTAGCAGTATGAAGAACAGCTCAAGTACAAGTCATGCTCCTTGTATTTTAGATTCAGGACTGAAGCCTAATTTCAAAACCAACCTCTTCAACAATCCTTCTAGTTACAGATCTCATAAAAGTAGATCAAAATCTGAAGATGTTGCTTTTGTTGCACCACTGAATCTTGGAAGTGAAGTCAACTCAGTTATCAGCCAGGCCTCCATCAATAGGCAAATGGTTGTGAAAAAGAATACTAATGAGACTGTAACCTGTGATGGAGACACTTGTGCAGCTAAAAATGAGGTGATCAAGAGCGATTTCCTTCTCGTACACCAGAGGCAGGTAGAAAGCAGGTGTGCTAAGAGAAGGAAAGCTGAAGATGAGCGTGCAATTGGCTGTGAAAAAACATCCTTCAACAAAGAGAACTCTATGCCCTTTCGATCAGACGTTCAGCATATTAATGGGGAACATACAGTTGATAAGCCCTTGGATCTTTCCGATCGCTTCTCTGGAGCTTGTTGTCAAGAAAAAAAACAAGGAAGTGAGGAGACCTGTAAAAATAGACTGAAACAAGTGACTCTGCATGACATTTTTTCACAGCTAGGGAAGCCCATTCCTGAAGGTTCATCATCCATCCAAAATGCCAACAATGAGAGCTGTTTGTTTGGCAGAGATTTACAAGAGGAATCCTATGTACAAGAGTCAGTGCTGGGAAAAACATTCCCAGATAAGAAAAAACAGATCCAAATGAAAGAAGTAGTTCCTCCTTTCAAAACTGCATCACTGCCAAGTTCTGCAGAGACAGAACAACTTTTTGATGATGTGATGGTATGCTTTTCTGACTTTTTTGCTTCTCCTTTGAAATCTTATATTTAAGTTTTGGGAAATAGTAAATTTGCAATATGTTGTTAGGTTGCCAGTGGCCATGTACCAAATAGAAAGAAAACAAGGACAGGACATGGAGAGTCTGAACCAGCATCTGTACTTCAACCAAACCCTTGTAGACTATCAAAAAATAAAGCACTGCAAAATGAACAAGGTAAATTGATGAAAATGTTCCTTTTTTGACTCCCCTGGCCCCACAGGCTGTGCTATGGTTGAATAAAATTTTTTATATTTTCTTTTCTCCCACTTTAATCACTTTCTCAGTTCTGCTTCTAACTTAGTCTCATTCTATTCAGGGCTTCTCAAGATCACCCCCACGTTTTCCAGCTGTATCTCCCTGGCATTCTTTTGCCACTATATAATAAATGTCATTGGCATTCAGCTGTAAACTCAACAGGCTAGGAATCTTGTTCTTTCTTGTTTATTTAGCATTGTTGTTTACTGCAGCGTGTGAATAACAGACACTGAAATAAAATCTCAGGAAGTTTGAGTTTAAACTATCTTACATCAAATGCTTGAAAACTGTACTTAAGTGTAAGTCATTTTCTTAATATTTTTAATGATTCCTGATGATCTGTTAAAGAAATTTGTACCTTTATTGGTAATGAACAGGTGCTGCCAAGTACTCTTCCTAGAAGTTGTATCTTCTTTCCTGTGAAGTAGTCCAAGTTTGAAAACTTATTTTTCAAACTGGGAGTGTAGAGTCCCTGCTTCTGTACTCCTTAGCTGAGCTGTTACACTGCATACTTTATTTAGGAATACTTGCATTATCAATTTTAAAAAAAATCTGTCAGTAGTTGGTGTGGCCACGTAGCTTGGAATCTAAACCTCTACCTCACAGATAAATCAAGAGCTGTCTCTGGAACAATGACTAGACACTTTTGTACTCTTTCATACTCTTAAGATCTGACTTTCGTATTCTTATCTAATGTTTTCTATCCAGTATTAATACCACTTGATTTATGCAGTACAGAGATACCTGCAAGAGTATTTTATGTATTACGTACCTCATACCATCACAAAGGAGTGGTGTGCTCCGTGAATATGACAAAAAACTTAAAAGATGTGTTTCTAATTCTTCAAACAAAATATGATTTACACCAAATGAGCATGTTTGAGAAAAATCAATCCCTAAACTCAAAAATGCATTGATAAAAGGAAAGCTGTCTTAAAATTTACACACTGTAGGATAAATTGGATTCTGATTACTTGAATTTTTTTCTTATGTTCTCTGCATCCAGACCTGAAAGACAAACCATCTTTAGAAAACCTTCAGTGGAGCATAGACCCAGGAGCTGACCTTTCACAGTACAAAATGGATGTTACTGTGATTGATACAAAGGTATACTTACGTAAAAAGTCTGCATGTTCTATACTTAAAAAAGCCTACAAAGGTAGTATCATGAACTTTATTCATAATATTCTCCCAACTATATTTGACACTTTTTTTCTAACAAAAATCTAAACTCAACTCATTTAATATTTGTTTGCACTCCTAAAATGTTTGTTTATGCGTAGTACGCTACAGTTATCCTAAAATATTTCCACTGTCTAGTTGTATTTGATAAACTCAGCCAGGTGGCTTCTCAGTAGGAAACTGGTGTGTTTGGATGTGGTTTTGGCTTTCTTTTAAGACAAAAAGATAAATGCTCTAAATTTCATATTTTTTAATGTGAAAATATTCATTGTGGTATCTCTGTGTTAAATAACAGAAAATGTGCAGATAATGACTGTTATCATTGAGTTGGGTGCAGGTTGGATATTAGGATCTCTGAGAATTTTCCTGAAGTCTATTTGTTTTGTCTTGCTTGAAGGCTATCTTAAACTATAATAGTTTGACCAGTTTTTAATTTCTGTATGTTTCACTGTTACTTTTTATCTTTGTAGAATTTAATATGAAAACTTTTAAGGAATTTCTTGCCCATCAAGTAATGTAATCCACCAGTTGCAAGTTTTGTATTTGAATTTCGGAATATGTTATTCTCTTACCTAGATTTTGTCTTTATCGTGCAGACATTACTGCAGAAAAAAATCACAGAATGTGTCCAAAAAGATGCCACTAACTGTTGTGAAAGTGTTTCTGATATACAGCAGTGACACTGACTACACCAGTTGCTTCTGAGTGTCATGTTTGTTTTTTTTATTTAGGGTGGTTCTCAGTCAAGAGGCGGAGGGGAAGTTGTTGATATGGATTATACATATGTTAGTGAAAGAGGGTTATCAGAAATGAAAAATCAAGAGCAAAACCCGGAAAGCATTTCAAGTAAGACTTTTTTTTTTTTCCTTTTCATTTACTTTTTTTTTTTTTTGAGGAGCAGGAGAAAGTAAAGGATGGGTTTTTTTCCCCTGTACGAATAGATAGTAGAAAATGGTTTGCAATAAAAAAAGCACTGATGTGTTTTTATAGGTTACAAAGATCAGTCTGCTTCCTAGTAGAATCAATGGTTGTTGCTGAGGGTTTTTTTTAGCTTAGGAAAATGATTGGATTTGTGCTGATAGAGCCAGTAGCTATGCTTTTACAGTGCTTAAAGAGTTAAATACTTAACAATATAATAGTTCTGCTCTCACCTGCAACAATCACTCTTACAACAAACAGCTTTGAAAGTTTGCTGTATAATCATATCAGACTTTCCATGGGATGACTAATTTCATTTTTAATGACACATAAATAGAACTAGTGTATTTAAAATAAATCTATATGTGTTTATATCACATTTAATGTATGGTATGTGGTGAATTGTGGCTTCAGGGCAGTGACTTTTAATGATGTATTTTGTTTTTTTTTAAGCTGTTGCAACTTGATCACATTTCTGTAGTTTATCTCCTAACCACAAAAGGTATTTCCTTCTGCTTGGATAACTCCGTAATTACAGGAAAAACAAAATTCATGTATCCAGTATTAAGATTAAAGGTACATCAAAGAGATTTAGCAGTTAGTCAAACTTTAGAAATAGAATCAAGGTATCTTTATGAAAAACAAATGAGCATTGGCCACATTTGAAAGATTGACAGAGAAGTTGCAGAAAGAATAAATGTTTAGCTGATGTAGAGTTAATCGGCACTGGAGCAGGAAGTTAACGTTAGTTCTTTTGATACATGTTCAATCAAAATGCACTTTCTTGACTTAAATTGTTGAGAGGCTGATTCGGACATTCATTTTCCTTTTTATAATAGGAGGAGAAAAAAAAATTAATGATACCTTAACAGAGATGTTCGATCGAACAACCCGTGAAGAATATGAATCCTGCCTACCAGAAGATAGTCCTTCTGCATGTGATGAAAAACAAACTCTTCATGATGAAGAGCAGGATAAGGGAATAACAGCAGCAAGCGAGAAACTAAAGAGTGGGATATAATTTGTTTCGTCTTTAGGCTGGTTAAACTAGAAAAGTTGATTTCAAATCAGACTTTGTTATCTAGGAACAAATATGCTAAATAAACCTTCAGTTCATTTTTCATAAATTCAGGGGAAAATTTATTCATTGTAAGGACATAACATAAACCAATCTGAAAATTATTTTAGTAATTCATTTATATAGACATGATACAAATATGGGATGTGTAATGAATGTTGGCATAGGAGCTGTACAGCAAAGTGACTCTAACAGGAAACACAGTTTTTGTCTGCAGATTACTTGCTTCCTTTCTTCTCCCTATCCTAGATTCTATAGAAGATTTTGCAGCATTTTGTATTTTAAGCAACCTTTCCTTTACTATTCTACTTATCTTTTTTTACTTGTCTCCCTGCTATTTTCCTTCTGCTCCAGAAATGCTTTTTGATTACTGATTCAACCGATTCTGTATTCTTTTTAGTATCTGCTTGAATCTGTTGTCTCAGACTGAATGTACATGACATTTTTGTATTTCTTAATAGCTGGCTAATAATTTTACAGGCATCTGGGTCATTTTGCAGGGAGCTGGGTCTCTTTAGCTTGGAGAAGAGGAGACTGAGGGGGGACCTCATTAATGTTTATAAATATGTAAAGGGTGACTGTCATGAGGATGGAGCCAGGCTCTTCTCAGTGGCATCCAATGATAGGACAAGGGGAAATGGATATAAGCTGGAACATAGGAGGTTCCGCTTAAACATGAGGAAGAACTTCACCGTAAGGGCAACAGAACACTGGAACAGGCTGCCCAGAGAGGTTGTGGAGTCTCCTTCTCTGGAGTTGTTCAAAACCCGCCTGGGTGCGTTTTTGTGTGATCTGATCTAGGTGGTCCTGCTCCAGCAGGGGGATTGGACTAGATGATCCTTTGGGGTCCCTTCCAATCCCTAACATTCTGTGATTTTCCAGGCAGTCTGTTAACCTTATATGACATATAATTTTTTGTTTTGCATGTATATTTACAGAACATGAGGATAAACAAGATAAAGCCAAGCAGAAAGCTTTTGTGGAGCCATATTTCAAAAGTGATGAAAGGTAATTTAGTTTGTTCTGTATAGACATTTTAAGACTCTTTACATCCTCCCTATAGGGAACTTGTTCTTCCCTAAAACAAATGTGTTTGTGTGTAACATACTAGTGGCTGACGATGCACGGGTAAAAGATCTACTAAATTAGATAAAAGCCTTACATAAAAGCTGGATAGGGGGGGAAAAAATACATTGAGATGCCTGTCTGTCATGTTTCCTGAAGAGAAGGGATTGCCTCTTCTGCTTTTTATAGTTTTATCAAAAGCAGTATTTTGTATTCCATGTTGTTTCTTTATAGGCATGTGGTCATGCATGAGTTTGAGCAGAGTCTATGGGTTGCTTGTACATATAAAAACCTTTCCTTCTCTGGCATTGTTGTCCCTTCCTCTAGGCAATAAATGAATAACGTTTAACAACTGTACCTCTTAGTGCTTCCTCTGTTGCCTTTCTGTATAATCATCATTGGTAGTCTAAATCTTTCATAATGATACCAAGCCCTTCAGTTAAATAGCTGTTAGGGTTTTTTAATTCAGCATTTTTCTTTGTCGAGGAAAACTTGTTTAGTGTTCTGAGAGCAGATGAGTTGAAAAGAACCTGTTCTGTTCTTGAACCTCAACATACATTCCTCTTGCAGAGATGGGTGCAAGCACAACTGTGTCTTGGACAAAATAAATAGTCTACAGGATATCTGTGTTTGGGTAATTTCAATCTATTAATTACTTCCACACTATGAAAAGCCAGAATAATGAGACACATATCTCTGGTTATGTAAAAGTTCATCTTACATTTAAAAAATCCTGTAACTGTTTTAGTTACAAAAATAGTCCTGTTCAGTTATGAAATGCAGTATGATTGGGTTTTACAGGCATTTTCTGGTATTTTTGTTTTTTCTAGACTCTTCTTCATTGTATTCTAAAAACTGGACGTTTCAAGACATGTAGAAGAAATAAATGTACTATAGTGTGAAAACATTTTTGTTTTTCAGAAAGAATACTGTGTTAGATTTTCCTCATATTGAGGTTATTAGAAAAAAAGAAGAAAGAAGGAAATTACTTGGCCATACTTGTAAGGAATGTGAAATAGTAAGTAGTGCTTGAAAATTTAGTCAGTCTTCCATTCTCCTAACTCTGCTAGTATCTAAGTGCTAAAGTGCTGTTGAAATTATGAATCTGGTTGCATCATCATCAGTACCTACAGTAGCAGAGAAATGTTTAACAAAGCTGTTTTACCAAGTTTGGGGTTGGTTGGTCTGTTTTTAACTGTAGTAACTGCATACAACTTACAAGGTCTTAATTTTTTTTGAGTGTGTGTATCTATGTGATAGAAACTTCCCACATCACGGTTCCAGTAAGATTTTTGTTAATAAAAAAAAACATTAGCTAGTCAGAGAATGATTACAAGTTTCTAAAGTCGAGCTCAAAAGCTCTACTGAAATTTACAGGTACCGGAATAAGTAAGTTCTATGTCCTGTTGTACCTATACATAGATATATCTTGATTTGTTGGGGGTTTTTCTTGTTTTCTGGGGTACCTACATTTTCATGTAACTGCACCAGCATAGGGGCCAATGCGTATATATGTGCAAATGCATGCAAAAAATGTTTACATTAGCAGGCTTAAAAGTATGAAATTTTAGGTTTCATGTCGTGTTTTTTTTCCTCCCTTTCAAATTACTAAATCACTTTCAGATACTTGGTATTGAGATAAAATATTGAGGAAATTACGTGTGTAATAAGGACATATTTCATGTGGTCGTTAATAAACTTTCAGGCTGGAGGTAATTAGTCAGTGATCTAATACATTATAACTCATCAGAAGTGTGGATTGATGACTGAATAATGATGGATTCTCTGGAATCTTCTAACTTAATTTCCACATCTATATAGAACCAACATTTTTCATCTATTCTTCTGCTGTTCACTTTATAGTCAAGTTACATTTACTTAGCTGAAGAAATTTATTAGAGTATATTTTTAACAAAAACACATCCCAGAAAAATAGCTTTGCTAAAACTCATTAAATACAAATAATTAAGTTTTACAGTCAACTATAAATACCATTTTCAAAAATATGTTTCTTTTAAAAAGTTTGAAAGAAAACAAAATGTTGAAAAAACCAAAACAAAACAAAAAACCCCAAAACTTTCAGTCTATTTCTTGTCCCAAGAGCCCTGTGTTAAATGTTTTAATTTCCTGTCTCTGTAAGCTACAGATCTTCTCTCAGCAAATCTAGTTTCTGGCAAGTTAGAGTGGTGACTATGTATGGAAACATTTACAGCTTCAATTTTACAATATTAGGTTTCTACATTGAACTTCAGAGAAGTTTGTTTGTTGTGGGTTTTGAGGTGGTTTTTTTTTTAGTCTTTCTTTTTTTTAAGCCATTCAAGATTAATGTCTTGGAATGCATGGAATGCTTGGCTGTGTTATTGCACCATAATGAACTAGTTTTGAATGAAAATACCTATGGAAGAAGTGAGTATTAGACAAAGCATAAACGATGCTTTAAAAAAGTCTTGGCTTACTTGTTAGTCACATGGGTTTGAAAAGTCTCCAAAGTCTAAGGAAATATTTAGGGAGTGGTAGAAATCAGTAAATTGTTTCTAGCCATGTGCTACAAGCGGTGTGAGTGGGGAGAGTTACCTGTCATTCTGAGATGTGAGGGACTGAACTTCTGCACATGCTGTAGCAGACTGATACCAAAGTCCTTTGTAAGTCCTTAAGGCTTTGTGGAAGCATCTCATTCGCTTTGCAGTGTAGAACCTTTGATAAGAGGTCTTGTTTTGGTTTGTTATGACTTAGAGATGCCATCAGAGAAAAATTGTATGCAGGAGTTAGTGGTAGCTTGTATAAGTAACATTTGTTAGTGGTGTTATTAAGTCTAACTACACGTTAGATAAGTAGGAGAATCAGTCAGGTGGGTTTATATACATTTAGGTTAAAGAAATTGCTCTGTAAGTAAGTTTGTGCTAAACTAATGAGAGGAACATTTTAAGGGTTTGTTCTCTTTTTGAGACTGCAAATTGTTGAGTTCTGTAAACAATTCTTTTACAGTGAAGACACTGCAGGATGAGATTTTGCGTATCTTTTCACACACAGAAAAGCCTAGCTCAAATGTTTCATGGGGGTTGAAAATGCTGTGGGTAGTGAAATCCATCCAGAAAGCAGCTGAGAGTTCTTTTTGCTGTTTAGCAGGCATATATGTAACTTTCTTATTCTTTGTTAACCCTAATAGATTACCAAACAAGCTATTTTTTTTTTAAAAAAAGTTCTAATTTCTTTGGAATACATATTATTGATTGGATTTTTTATTTTCTGTTCCTGCAAAACTGTATTTTTCAGTGTTCGATCTATAGATTTTCTTCACCAATCAAATGTTTTAATTTAAGAAAAAAATGCAGCACACTGCAAACTTTAAGTAGCTAATCTCTAAAATTCCAGGGTATTTAAAGGACAAACATAAGGTGCACTGCTAATTATCCCTAAATAAGACTCGGCTACTAATCTCTTTGGTTTCCACAGATACTGTATAATTCTTATAATTTTGTTGACTTAACACCATGTTGTTTCTTAACTTCTGGCAGTTAAAATTGATGTGTACTAGATGATAATTACCTGCTCCTCCTCTTTCGTCAGTCTGTAGATCTTTAACTGAGCGACACAGATGTTTTCCCAGCTGGGTCTCTGAAGTCCAGCTGCATAAGTGACCCTACTCTGTCTGACTCAATCCTCAAACCACTGATATCTGATATTGATACGTTTAAGGGAACATCGTATAAGACAGTGGCAAACACTTTCAAACTAAGTGTCTCCAATTTCAGTGACTGAAGAGGGTTCTGCTGTCAAGATTGTGAGAGCATCCTGGGCTTATACACAGTTCATTTTGGAGAATCTTATACTAGGGGCTCATAACCATTCCTGAGTATTATCTATGGAACTGGCAGTTGATTTTTATCCTGCGTACCAGGATTTTGTAGTAGACAGACCAGTAATCTGAAATTTTGGGTACAACCTACTAACAACCTGAATCTATGTTCTTGACCAGGAGACCCACATGTTACTAGATCAGATTCTTGTACTAATAAGGGCTTTGAGAGCAGAATATGTTCTGGTGTCACACTTGGTAGAAGGCAAGAAATCTGAATTGATTTTGGGAGGGAAGAAAATGTACCTCAGTTTCAGGAAGAGTTATAGTTCCCACAGGCTACAGAATCACAAAATGAAACGAGTCTACTTTTCCTAGTTCCTGCAGTTTTGTCACTGACATTTTCAGAGCTGTGATTACTCTTTTCTATATAATCATCAACGTTTATATCTCATGATTTTTTGGGAGGAAGTTTTTTATGCCTGTTTTATACTTGGACTGCCATTTAGTAGGCAAAAAGGAATATATTAGTGCACTTTACGACTCCAAGTAAGTAGATTTTCTGAAATCTTGCCAGTAGATGGGGACAGGAGGTAATCTCTGTTGACGGAGGTATTCTGTTCCTTTCGTGATTTCCCCAGTCTAGATCACTTTCCAGCTAATTAAATGAGGTTTAAAACTCTAGCTTGCCTTTTTGAATTGTAACATTATTATTTCAGTAGAATTGCTTTACCACTTTTATGAGGGTCAAGTTTCTTGTGCAATCCAGACTGTGACTGTTAGCTTTTCACTTGAATCAAACAGTGCATTCACTTTGAAAATATTTTGGCACTCTGTAATATCTAAGTGCCAGATTGCTATTTTTAGGAGCTGCCAACTAGAATCATGAAATAAACCAGTAGAAAACTGCAGGAAAAATCCCTATGCTACTCATGGGAACACACAGCAAAAAAGATTGGAGAGTTTTCTCGTTGCAGGCCCCAGTACAGCTGACAGGGATGAAAGAGTAGCTAGCCAATTTACTACATACTCTAGAGAATGCCCAGCTGGCAAGTGGTGACTGGAGTCCCAGTGTCAGTCAGCTGGTTAAACTAGCTCTTTATTTACTCCTAATTTGAGGCTAATAAAGTAGGAAGCCTTTTGACTTAAATGTGCTGTTACTACTGTAAATTTAGACACTGGAAATAATTCTGCAGCATGGATTTTGTAGTGTATTTTTCACTTTTTGGTTGTATTTGTAAATGTGAGTTGAAACTTAGTTTATTAGAAAATTCCGATCTATTTCAGCACCTGTACTACTTCACTTTGTAAAATCAGTCATTAAAACTGTTGACATAAGTAATTGTACACATGCCTAAACCTTGTACCTGTGGTGTGTTAAAAGACAGGAAGCTAACAAATTTGCCACCCTAAGGTTATATTTAATCTGTAAACTTGGTAAGCTTTTAGGATAATGGCCAGGTGTTTGTCATTTGGATAACAAATGTCTACTCTTGGCTATCCTTAACATTATTTTTAGGTAACCGTGTTAATAAACAGTGATTGATGATGTCGTTGTGTAAAGCAGTTGCTTTGTATGTGTGAATTAGTTAACTTGGATTTTTCTTTTTCCCCCCCTAACATTCAGTATTATGCAGACATTCCAGAAGAAGAGAGAGAAAAGAAACTAGCTTCCTGTTCAAGACACAGATTTCGCTACATTCCTCCAAATACTCCTGAAAATTTCTGGGAGGTTGGATTTCCTTCCACCCAAACTTGTGTGGAAAGAGGTTTGTGCAAAAAATGCTTGCAAAGCACTTTTAAAAGATGATTATTTTTTTCTGAAATGTTCCCCTGACATTATCTCTAGTTCATAAAGCAGCTTTCTCACCCAGTCGTGTTGAGATCTGTTCACTTATCAGCAGCCATTATTTTGAATAAGTATTGTCTTTTTTTAGCAGCTCTTGTACTACTAAGAGGAGGAGAATATTAGGAAACTTTCTTAAACCCTAGACAGAGAAGGCAGAAATAATTGGGATTCTCATAGAATTTAATTAAAACCCTACATTTTTTTTAACCAAAGCAAGAATTGGGTCAATGTTTTCAGAGGCAAAGGCTGTGAGAGATTGTACTTACTGAGGAGAGATGTTGATGTCCTTTGTCTGTATCTCTAGAGCTCTATAATACCACATGATAATGGAAGTGTTGAAGGTAGAGTGTGCTTAAATAGTTTTTAATACATATGCCCTGCTTTTTAGTGACACTCAAAGGCTGTTATGTTGTGTTTTGGGGTTTTTTTTTGACTCCTCTTTGTATAGAAGGTTGTTGTTTTCTAAATAATTCTTCTAAATCCTAGAGCTTGGTATAAACATGAGTTTTTACTAGTGATGTTAAAACGTGGTGAGTTTGTAATGTACTATATGTGCATTTCTTCAGAAGTGGTGAAACTTTGAGTTAAGAAGCCCTATATGAACTTTAAGTTACTTATATCTTTATTTGTGTGTATGTTATTAGCTGTGAAGCACTAATCTTCACTTATTTTTATCTGTTCTCGTAATAGTTTCAGGTCAGGCATAAGAAAATGTAGCTGGAGATGTGTATGTGTTCCCGTGTGATAGTGTTGCAGTATCATCCTTAACAGGGAGCCTTGATTTTTAGGGACTTACATAACTTCCATAGTGCAAATCATACTGCTTAATCAAGATATACTGAGTTGAGTTTATTTAAATTTGAAGTTGTGTTTCCAAGAAATGTGTTTATTTCAGTCACAGTGTTCAGAACTTCGAACCTCCGCGCACTGTGGGCGACAAATGTCAAATTTGCTCTTGAACCTCTAGTCAAGTTCCCCCTTCTTAAATATCCACTGCGAAGAGCTAAGCTAGTCAGAGAATTTGCAGGCCATTAAGCTTTCTTGGGCTTGGTTAGGCTTCAGGAAAATGGTTTCACATAAGGAAAAGTGAATCCCTCAGTTCAGCTAGCCAGCACCTCCGGATCGCTGCTGAATCACCACTTCCTTTGTGAGTTGTCTCTTTCCTCTCTTGTGTATCCAGTTAGATGGGGTTGGGCTGAGGCCAGTCCGTTCCTCCTTTACCTTAAGTAATGAGAGATTCTCACCACTCCAGAACTACCTTTGGTTCTTAATCTTTCAAGATGAACAAATCATCTAGGCATGTCCATTTATAACTTCAAGTGATTGAGAGATCCTGTTAAGGAGATTGTCTGTTACTACCAATTCGAAATCTACTTGCAGCCTTGTTAAAATTAGCTTCTTGGCTGTCTCCTTGTTCCGCTAGAGTAAGAGCAGTTCAGTTCTTAATGGTCCTCAACAGCATATCAGAGGCAACTTTCAATTAGATCTTTCTTGGTAAAAAGCCATATTATACAAAAGTGCAGCAAGAACACCAAAACACACTAGAGAGAGTTTCCTTAATGAGCAATTGCAGCTGTCACTCTGAAGTAGTGGGATACAGAGGGTGTATTTTCTACTTCTTGTTGGTATCTTGAACCAATTGTGGTTTGTGTTGGGTTTTTTTAAATAACTGAGTTGTATAGTCAGTATTTTCCAACTATGAAATAGGAATCTACTACTTTGACTTCAGTGGATGTTAATGCTGATAAACAGTAAGGGTTTGACAAAAGCCAGGTGCTAGAACTGATTTGCATAAAATGTCCGCTTACTATCAGTTTTAGCTAAGCTGAGCATGTTACAGAAATTTTCTATATGCTTCTCTTATCAAAGAGCTTTCAAGGTGTGTTTGATCCATAGGTTCATGCTTGGCTTTTTCCAGATGGACAAGCCTTTAACAAATAAGAATGCCCTTTAACAGAGGGATGTACCGTTATGAACACAAAGCACGTGTGCATGAAGTTTCCCCTGTATGACTAGGAAATAAGTTTTTAAAAGTATTTTTTATTAGTCAAATGAATTTGTAGTACTTACGTGCTTCGTTATTCTTATGTAAAATCTTGTGTAGAAAAGACGATGGAAAGTGCAATTTTATTTTGAATAGATGAACAATTCATAGTTTCTATTCTCTTAAGTATTATCTGTCTGTTGCATTACTATGCAGTCAACTACGAGAAAGCAGCTGAGTGTTTTCATTAATGATATTGCACCCTGAGATCTCCAACTTTTTGTCAAGTGAGAACTAGTTGACACAAAAGGGGAAAAAAAAAAAGCAAGTTATTTTTTGAGGGTAAACAAAAAATGAAACTAAAGTTATGCACGTTTTTATATTGTATTTCTTACCTCAGATTTCTTCTTATTCTTTTAAGGATATATTAAAGAGGATCTTGCTCCCTGTCAACGTCCAAAAAGACGTCAGCCTTATGCTGTGATGTTTTCTCCAAAAGCTAAAGAGCAGAAGACATAAAGGGTGGGGAAGTAAGGCACGCCAACTTGAAGAGTATCTTTTCTCTCCTTAGATATTTATAGTTAATATAAACTTGAAATAAAGAACTGTGTTTTCCACAATGATAGATAAATTGTTTCACTAAATATGTAAATTTTATAAAATTAATTTGAAAATCTGATGTACCAGGAAACAAAACTATTTAATGTATGTTTGTTTCATATTGTGTTAATACATTTTGTATTAATTCTTGCACCTGTCAGACAATGAATCTCCCATTTTTTTTCTTTGAAGTCAACAGCTAAAAGTCCAGCAAATCCTGCCTAAACTTTGTGTCAGTGAGTAACTGCTTTGAAGTCACTGAAATCAGTTGTTTTGCAAGGTCTAAATGCCTGTCAATGGGAACAGAAATGCAGATTTTGTAGGGTGCTTTTATTTTGCACTGGATTTTTTTATATAGTCTTTCTCTTTTGGCAATAATGGTTATATCTACTTGTAATAAAGCTGTATTAAATATGAAACATATCTACTGTTAATAGTTTGGAGGTATGGAAACCATGTAGTCTAACTGTTTGCTTAAATTTTGGTATTAATTGTATAGCACCACGTTTTCCTCCGTGTTTAAACTACGATATCCAATATTTCTTTTTTTTCCCCTTAATTTGGATCTGTTTATATACCCATCTCATTTATTGATAAAGAGATAAGCATTGTTATTTCTAAATTTGGATGACAACTATGCACAGAGTTCTCCTAGGTGAAGACCATTGCTGTCCACTAGATTATGAAGGATTCTCCGGATATACTTTAAATTATTTTTTTGTAGCAGGAGATGTAGTTTCATACTTGCGCTTGGAAAGTAAGAGCATAGAGTATCAGACAGGCAGGGTAATGCTTTTACATAGGCAGGCAGGCCAAAGATCACTCTAATATATTTAAGAGTAAAGTAGCATTCTAGAATAGAATAAAATGTTGAAGCAGCGTACAATCAGAGTGAAGTTCAACCAGTGAGAATTCTTTTTAAAAAGATGTCATAAAGCAACTATTTAAATGCATTAAACCAAAAGAAAATAATATAAAGTACAGATATTTATTTTTTTAAAGTATCTGTACTTTCTATTATTGTATTTTTTAGATATTTATGTGTGTGTGAATTAAAGAAGTAGATATACAAAAATTTGGTGGATAGGACCATTTAATTCCAGTCGTACTTATATAGGAGTTGGTGGTATGTTCTGCTGGTGGTGAGGTTATGGCATATTCCTGAAAGAAAACTTAAAACTTATCAATTTAACTGTAACACTAAGTAACACACAATCCTCTTAGGTTGAAATCACAGGCCTTGCCAAAAAATAGAAGAAAGTGTATCACTTGACACTGTCCCCATCCTACCTGCTTAATTGATTGATTTGCTTTAGCATTTCACAGGGAGATATCCTAAGGAATAGCAAAGGCATAAAGCCAAATAACAATGAAAATTTTCCATCATTCCCATATATCCTATCATGTGCTGACAATATATGTTTACACACTGTAAAGGTTTCATTTACATTGACAGAGCAGGTATTCAGAGAATCCATGCCAAGGGAAGTCTTGTTTCCTGAAAATTTAGAAAACTTTGAGAAAATTAACAGGTGCTGCCAAAAAGGTGGTATCTTGAAAATTGTTTGAAGACAACTATTACGTGCTCTGTATAAGTATTTATCCAGCAAAAAAAGGTTTTTGACAAAAGAGTAAGGTAGGAGGGTGCATTTAACTAGGGAGAACCTTTACAAAGTAGAAGTTATGTCCACATAAAGAAAAGGGGAGGCATGTTGTAACTCATCAAATGTGAAATTTGCTAGGAAGCAGGCTGTATGAAAAAATTTCTTAAAGAATTAATTATAAATCCTGTTTTTAAGAACTACCAGAAAGAGCAGACTTCACAGTAAATTGGTAGAGTAAATGATCAAATGATAACAGGAACATTTAAAGGTAAATTGACAAGAAAAATGGGGATTTTTGTGCCCATGTTCATTCTGGAAGTGCCCAAGAACCTTTCTTTGCAGGGTGGGTGGGCGGAGCTGTTTTAAACTGAAATGTCAGAAAAGGTCAATGAAATGAGTGTCAGCAAGCCGCCAGGACTGGAGGCTGCTCCTGTGGATTCCAGAGTGAGAGAAGAAATTGCTAACCCCCCTCACTGTAGCATGGGACTTGTCACTTCAAGCAGTTTTGATGGTCACGGAGTACAAAGTGACGATTCTGCCATTGGATTTTGCAGAAGGAGATCAGTGGAGCTGCCGCCTGATGAGTTTTATCAAGTATTGGAAACAGTGAGCTAATTGATAAGAGTATAATGAGCAAGATTTTCAGACCTATGGATAAATATAATGTGAAAAGTCAACACCTTTTAAAGGCAAGTCATTCTGATGGTCTTGTAGACTCTTCAAAGGTGTCCAAGTGTGATTCATCTGACAGCTCATAGAACCAACCTGTCATGGTATGAAAGGAAAAGTTCTCTCTTAGATTGTGCCTGTTTAAAGGTACATAAATGACCACAGCAGGAGGAAATTACAGCGGAGTTCTGCTAGGAGCTCTTTTGTTCAGCCTGTTTGTAAGTGTTTTGAGAAAGGGTGAAGGGCAAAGTAGAAAGTTGGTTAAATTATTCACTGTGCAAGTAGAACTGGAGCAAAGAAAGGGAGAGGAGAGTTTGCAAAGCGGAAGGTAAGATTTAATCTGAAAAGGAGACACAGAAGAAGGGACGTGACAGATGTCAATAAAGTCATGAAGTGTGGAAGCAGTAAATAGGTGCTCACTGAGGGGCAGCGGGTTTAGTTAGAAGCAGAAAGGAACCCTTAGTGCCTGTGAGAATATTACTACTCCACTAGAGGACAGTAAGGAATTGCTTTTACGCTTAAAACAATATAAGAAGTACTCTTTAGTTAGCCAATTTTTGAAGACTTAAGTTACCTTTAAAATTTTAGATCTCTTGCCTACCTCTCCTAATGCCAGAAAAAATATTTCACTCGTGAGAACCAGACTTCATCTTGACAAGCAAGAGATCAATTTAAAAAAAAATCTAGAAAGAAGTGTAGAAATAGACTATGATTTCACTTCCAAATAGTAAGAGAAATACCTAAAGAAATAGCAGAAGTCTGAGCAACTTTTTGTATACCAAAAAAAAGACTGAAACTTATAATAAATTCAGTTAGAGATTTCTATTTCCAGTAATTTTCAATTGCAATTTCTAATTATGTCTTACCTGTATTTTTAGCCAACTCTTGCGATAATATATATTTTTTTACCCAAAGGAAATGGAAGGAAAAAGGGAGCCAGTCAAACCCAGCAAGGAAAGTCTGCTAAAACAATGACTTTGAAGATTTTTACATTCATAGTTAGCATTGGCCATTTTTGTCCTCTAGGGTGTGGCAGCACGTTGCAATCGTGGTCAGCTGCGCTGTCAGAGGAGTATCTGATGATCTTAGAGCTGTTGTTTTCCACATCTGCAAGCAGTGAAGAAGAAAAGGAATTTTGGATAAAAATCATCAGCTGGCGTAGGTTTGTGTCTTTGGAGGAGATGGGGACAGTTGACTAAAACCAATGTTTATGAGCCAACTATTCATATACTTTCTCATGTGAAGCCAATACTCACAAGTTGAGAGGAGGGGGGAAATTTCTTCAAGTTTATCCAAGTGTGAGCATCCAAAGGGGAATCTTTGAATATCAGTGCCTGTTGAGTCATATCTCCACCATCTGACACTCCTGTCAGGACAGCCACAGCTGTCTTCTAGTTTCCTCTCCTTGTCTATGACACTGTCTTAGGATTCAGCTGTGTGCACATGCTGCCTCTTCTCGTTTTATGAAATAAGGGAAAACAGCGTAATTGATGCTAGGACTCGTGCATCTTTTTTAACAGATATGTAGATACCAGATATGTACCACATTAGCCATGACTGGGAGAACCTGAAGACGTTCACATAGTAACAACCTCCGAAGAGACAGTAGTACCTAAAAACTCATCCATTTGACGTTATCAAAAATTACCTCTGCTGGAATGGGTTAAAGTGGTTTCTGTAAGTCAGCTTTTCTTCACTCAGATCCAAGGTAACATTCAGAGGTTCCAGCAAAGTTTCTTCTGGCCTACTGCAGTACAGAGCATCGCCCCTGTATTCCTAGTGATTCTTAGCATTTTTTCAAGTCATGATGTTTAGACACTGGCATGGGCCCAACGATTGTATAGCCTTTAAGTCGGTGGCCTAGTGTCATTCCCAAAAACATAAAGAAGGCAAGCTGTTGGCTTTAGCACATCCAGAGCACTATCTGTCCAGTCTGCAAACAGATCTCAACCTGAGAAGCAAACCTTTCATCATAAACCGTTTCTTGGGCTGCTTAGAGCACAAAGTCGGACAGATTGTTGTTAAAATGTCCACGAGCAAGCTGCATTTCATGCACTGCCTGCGACGACAACTTGGTCATTAGTTGCTTCCAATTAGTTGTGCTTTTGAACTTTGCTTTTCTCACGTAGAAGAGATGAATGGCTTGTCCCTAATGAAGCAGGAGGAAAACAATGTCTGTCTGCTGATTAATGGAAGCTCCTGTTGAATAAAACCAATACAAGAGAATAAAATT